ATTCTGTGCTGGTGGGCGACCTATACATTGCCTAACTACGAGTTAAATAAGTCCAGCCTGGAAGCGCTGATGCAAAAGCTACCCTCTGCCATGGCAAGCGATATCCTTCCTCAAGACAACGTCAGCTTCCTTGACTACGGCGAAGTGGCCCTACAGGAACTCATAATATGGGACAGGTCGAAAAGTACCTCGATCTCTGGGGGACTTTTAAGCTTTGAAAACTTCCTCAAAGTCATGATATACCCATGTGCAGAAACCCCAGAGGACAGTCTCCACTAATCAGGGATAAAAACATCCAAAATGATTTTTGGTCTTTTTCTAGAACAATTCAATCAAAGTGTCGCAGGACTTTTCGAACAACCTAATAGTTGTTGGAGGCGAATGTATGTTGCCTTTCTCCCGTCGCTGAATGATACCAAGGCCTCAGGGGAGTGGATTCATTTTTCAAGAGGGAATCTGAGGAATTTGTGTTGGTATACAGTAGAACCCCATGCGAGACGGTCAACACCACTGTCATTTGACGCTTCGCCGCGCACGACTTGAGCGCAGCGTTTTCTTGATTTGCCCTAGCCTGTCGAATAGAGAATGAATTTCATGTAGACTATGCATTGTGGACATTCATGGTTATTTGTGGCTGTACATTGCCTATTGTTGGGATCTACTACTCCAAAATATAGTCATCGCGGCAGGAAGTCGCACGCGACGGCTGCCAGCGCGACGAATTAGGATTGTTTTGTCACCTTTCCAAAATTCATTTTCAAGCGTAAACATGATAAGTCCTAAGGTGGGTCGATTAGTTCGTACCACACGTGGGCATGCTTCACATTTTTTTTTGAAAGCACATCTACTACTTTTGGGTTCCACGTCTGTCATGATGTCTACCACCAAAATGGTGTAATTTTCATTCCAGCAGTGGAGGTGAGAACTGTTGTCTATGCCTAAAGGAGGAGGAATCTCAGGGTTCGTCAACCAGTTGTAAGAATGGCGCTTTAATTTGAAGGAATTCGTGCACACGAAGTCCTCAAGTGCCCGCACAGTTGTCAGAGCCAAAAGGCTCAATCAGATATTCAGTAGGCCGCAGTTCGGTTTGCTGGGGGCATCAGATTGTACTAAGCGTGGCTTGTACAAACCACCGTGTGGCAGACCTGTAAACTCCTGTAACCGGTGTGGTTCAATTATACCACTTCGCAGCTCGCCTGTTAGTTGACAAGTACTAGCAAGGGGAACTAGTGAAAGTGCAAAATGCAACCTCAAGCCTGTAAAATGCGCTAGCCATTATGTCCAGGAAGAGAAATGAAAAGCAGTTCCGCACCAAACTTTGCTTAATTGTTGTTTTTAGCACTCATTCATTTTATTACATGCTAGAATCCACTTT